TAAGTGGTGACTGAACAATGAGAACACATGGACACAGGGAGGGGAACATCACACACTGGAGCCTGTTGGGGGGTGGGGGGCTAGGGGAGGTATAGCAGAGGGTGGGGGGATTGGGGAGGGATAACATTAGGAGAAATACCTTAATGTAGGTGACGGGGATGGATACAGCAAACCACCATGGCATGTGTATACCTATGTAATAATCTTCCACAATCTGCACATGTACCCCAGAACTTAAAGTACAATAAAATAAAAAGAGTTGGGGTCTTGCTCTGCTGCTCAGGCTAGAGTGCAGAGGCATGATCACAGCTCACTGCAGCCTCAAACTCCTGATCTCAAGCAATCCTCCTGCCCCAGCCTTCTAAGTAGCTGACCACTGACCTTCTTTGGATTGCCCTATGGGAAGTGGGGCTTGGGGAACCTATGCAAGAAAATGCTGACACTATGGCTACTTACTGTGAGTAGTAAAGTCCTTTAACTTGAGCCAGGCATGGTGGCAAAAGCCTGTAATCCCAGCTACTCAGGGGGTTAAGGAGGGAGGATTACTTGACCACAGGAGTTCAAGACTAGCTTGGGAAACACAGCAAGACCTAATCTCAAAAATAAACAGCAAAAAGTCCTTTGGTGGACTCTGACTCAGGAGTGTCATATTTTCTGCTGGCATCCCTGAAACTGTAGCAGGCTAACATGTTAGCTTGCAAGTAGGGTAAGAACTTAGCCTCTTCCTAGTTCTTGAACCCTGAAGTAAAAAGAAAGCTTAATTTTGTTTAAACTAGGGTTTTCCAAATTTATATTTTTCCAAAAATTCTTATTAATACCATTTAGAAAAAACTCTGGGAAATGTTATAGCAGGCAATATGGAGACAGTGCTAAATGGAAGGTAAGTAGACCAGTTAAAAGGCTACTTACTACTTTAGCTTGAATGAGATTAATGTGGGCCTTGGAATATAAAGGGGGTATGGCTATGACACATGTTGTACAAGAAGATGAAGATGACAAAAAAGTGTCACTAATGATGCAGAACACAAGATGAGGCTTGGGTGAAAGTGGAAGAGATAGAAGTTTAATTTGGGACATAATAAATTTTTAGATTGGGAAGTCATTCATATGAAGATGTATATCAAGGCATTATATCTAGCTTTTTCCTTTTATGTTTTATACAATTGAGTAAAATACGTTCAAATACATGAGTTAGACACATTTATAAACAAAGACAAAATTGAATCTATGTCCTTAAGTATTTATATGCAAGGGGGAAGAACTAATAGAGAGACTGAAGTTAAAAATAGGCTGGGTGCAGTGGCTCACGCTTGTAATCCCAGCACTTTGGGAGGCTGAGGCAGGTGGATCACCTGAGGTCAGGAATTAGCCGGGCATGGTGACAGGCACCTGTAATTCCAGCTATTCAGGAGGCTGAGGCAGGAGAATCATTTGAACCCAGGAGGGAGAGGTTGCAATGAGTTGAGATCAAGCCACTGCTCTCCAGCCTGGGCAACAGAGTGAGACTCTGTCTCAAAAAAAAAAATTACATTAAATTAAAATTTTTAAAATTAGCCAGGTGTGGTGGCAGGCACCTGTAATCCCAGCTACTTGGGAGGCTGAAGCAGGAAAATTGCTTGAACCCAGGAGGCAGAGGTTGCAGTAAGGCGAGATTGTGCCACTGCACTCCAGCCTGGGCAACAGAGTGAGACTCTGTCTCAAAAACGAACAAACAAAAATAGTTGTGAGAGGTCATGATTGACAGGGAAGGTGAGTATGGGATCCAGGGCACAGGAAAAAGGTTCAGTTCCAAACAAGAAAAGATCTACTTTTCTGCTAAGACTAGAGGTAAGGGAAGAAAAATATCAACTCAAGATGGACCAGAGACTTAACTCTAATACCTGAAATCATAAAAATTCTAGAAGATAACATTGTAAAAATCTTTTTTGTTTTTGAGACTGAGTCTTGTTCTATCACCTAGGCTGGAGTGCAGTGGTGTGATCCTGGCTCACTGCAACCTCCACCTCTTGGATTCAAGTGATTCTCATGCCTGCGCCTCCCGAGTAGCTGGGACTACAGGAATCTGCCACCACACCTGGCTAACTTTTGTATTTTAGTAGAGATGGGGCCAGGATGGTCTTGAACTCCTGACTTCAAGTGATCCAACTGCCTCGGCCTCCCAAAGTGCTGGGATTATAGGCGTGAGCCATCATACCCACCTGAAAAACTCTTCTAAACATTGGCTTAGGCAAAGAATTCATGGCTGAGACCCCAAGAGCAAATGCAACAAAAATAAAAATTTAAAAAATGGGACCTAATTAAACTAAAAACCATCTGCACAGCGAAAGGAATAATCTGCAGAGTAAGCCAACAACCCACAGAGTAGAAAAAAATATCTGGCTGGGCGCGGTGGCTCACGCCTGTAATCCCAGCACTTTGGGAGGCCAAGGTGGGTGAATCACAAGGTCAGGAGATTGAGACCACCCTGGCCAACACAGTGAAACCCCATCTCTACTGAAAAAAAAAAAAGATTAGCCAGGCGTGGTGGCACGCGCCTGTGGTCCCAGCTACTCGGGAGGCCGAAGCAGGAGAATTGCTTGAACTCAGGAGGCAGAGGTTGCAGTGAGCTGAGATCGAGCCATTTGCACTCCAGCCTGAGTGACAAAGTGAGACTCTGTCTTAAAAAAAAAACAAAAAAAATTTGCAAACTGCGCTTCTGACAAAGGACTAATATCCAGAATCTACAAAGAACTCAAATCAGCAAGAGAAAAACAATCCCATCAAAAAGTGGGTAAAGGACAAGAATAGACATTTCTCAAAAGAAGATAAATGGCCAACATCACTAATTATCAGGGAAATGCGAATCAAAACCACAATGAGATATTACTTTATGCCTGCAGGAATGGCCACAATTAAAGTAAAAAAACAATAGATGTTGGTGTGGATGTAGTGAAAAGGGAACACTTTTAACACTGCTGGTGGGAATGTAAACTAGTACAACCACTATGGAAAACAGTATGGAAATTCCTTAAAGAACTCAAAGTAGAACTACTATTAGACCCAGCAATCCCACTACTGGGTATCTACTCAAAGGAAAAGAAGTCATTATATAAAAAAGACACATACGCACACATATTTATAGCAGCACGATTCACAATAGCAAAGATATGGAACCAACCTAATTGTTGATCAACCAACGAGTGGATAAAGAAAATGTGGTATAGATAAAGCATGAAATACTACTCAGTCATAAAAAGGAATGAAATAATGTATTTTGCAGCAATTTGGATGGAGCAGGGGGGCCATTATTCTAAGTGAAGTAACTTAGGAATGGAAAATGAAATATTGTTATGTTCTCATATATGAGTAGGAGATAAACTATGAGGATGCAAAGGCATAAGATTGACATAATGGACTTTGCGGGGGAAAGGTCAGAGGGAAGTGAAGAATTAAAAACTACATATTTGGCTACAGTGTATGCTGCTTGGGTGATGGGTGCACCAAAATCTCAGAAATCACCACTAAAGAACTTATCCATGTAACCAAAAACCACCTGTTGCCCCAAAATTATTGACATAAAAATAAAAAATTTTAAAAAGAGGTAAGGGAATAAAGATAGGAACCTGGCTGTACTAAGGACTTCAATATCACATAATGCTGGGACTCATGCTGTGATTTCAAAATTTCCTTAATAAATTATATACTTAAAATGGTTAAAACGGCGCGGCGCAGTGGCTCACGCCTGTAATCCTAGCACTTTGGGAGGCCGGGGTGGGTAGATCACCTGAGGTCAGGAGTTCAATACCAGCCTGGCCATCACGGTGAAACCCCATCTTAATAATCTAAAAGAAAAAAAATTTAAAAAAAAGAAAAGAAAAAAGAAAAAAACGGTTAAAATGACAGTTTGTTTTATGTATTTTACTACAATAAAAATACGTTATTCAATTACTATCCAATTTTCATACTCTAGTAAGTTAGCATTGATAACTACATTTTATGGTTAGCTTGAGTTTAGCTTTTAGTTTGCTACTCTAGATCTTACATAAGAGCAATCCTATTTAATGTCTTATAGCCACTGAAAAAAATGTATTCTACTTTGACTGTATTTTACCTATTTTTACATAGCAGAATAAACCAAAGATCTTACCATCTGAAATACATCAGAGCCTTCATCAAAATCCACCATGGCAAAAAATATCCTGTTGGTGAATGCACTGGAGTATCGCCAGGAGTTTGCCAGGATCTGGAATTCTTCATCGGCTTGCCTGGATGCAATGAAATTTGTGAAGATAACATATAAAATACTTTTTGAAAACAATCTCATTTATCACCAGTAAAACAAGTCCAAGCAAGCAATAAAAGTTTTTCCAATGGGAGAGAGAATAAAAAACACTGACAGGTCAGATTGTGCTGTCAGGGTTAAGACAAACCTTGTTTTGGCATAAGAGAAGCCTTATCCTAAGTTAGGGATTTCATCAGAAGTAGTAATTACCTGACTCCATTTCATACTTTGTGCCTGTTTCTTATCCCAAAACTCTTTCAACAATCATTGGAAATACACAGCTAATTGTCTCTACAATAACTTTCAATACCCTACATTACTTCTAAGACTTCAACGACATGGCAGCAGTATATTCACTAAAAAAAGTAAAAATACAATATTAATCCATTTTTTAAAATCTGAAGTACAAATGCTATGTGGTAAATAACATAATCAGATAAGTTATTAGGATGAAAGATAAGAAGACTCTAGGAATTGAAATTAATTGAGGCCAGCTCACGCCTTAATTAATTTCAAAGTGCTAATCCCAGCACTTTGGAATGCAGAGGTAGGTAGATCACCATAGGTCAAGAGTTCAAGACCAGCCTGGCCAACATGGCAAAACCCCGTCTCTATTAAAAATACAAAAATTAGCCAGGTATGGTGGTAGCCACCCGTAATCCCAGCTACTCAGGGGGTTGAGGCAGGAGAATTATTGAACCCAGTAGGCGGAGGTTGCAGTGAGCCAAGATCGAGCCACTGCACTCCAGCCTGGGCAACAGAGCAAGACTCCATCTCAAAAACAACAAAAAACCAAATTAATTGAAACCTCAAGTCATCTTTGAATTTTTCTGTATCTCCCATATGCTTTCAGTTTTCAAGATCTGTCAATTCTCACTTGTGATCAACTTTTCATTCCAAACCATCCTATTTTTATTGCTATCATTTAAGGTCAGATATCTGTTATCTAATAGTAGGATATTAAAAAGTATTGACTCTGGTTTCTCCTCCTCCAGTCCTTTTTTTTTGAGATGGAGTCTTGCTCTGTCATCCAGGCGGGAGTGCGGTGCTGCCATCTCAGCTCACTATAACCTCCATCTCCTGGGTTCAAGCGGTTCTCCTGCCTCAGCCTCCCAAGTAGCTGGGATTACAGGCGGCCACCATCCACTCCCGGCTAATTTTTGTATTTTTAGTAGAAACAGGGTTTCACCATGTTGGCCAGGCTGGTCTCAAACACCTGACCTCAGTTGATCTGCCTGCCTTGGCCTCCCAAAGTGCTGGGATTATAGACGTGAGCCACCACGCCTGGCCCTCCTCCAATCCTTCTTATACTCCAATATACATCCATCTTCCTAAATTGCTACTTTCCTGAAACACTTCTCAGAAATCACTGCTGCATTCTTATTACCTTCAGAATAGTCTCTAATCTCTTTCACTAGTTATTGAAGCTTCATCACATAGCTCCAAATAATACACCTAATTTTATCTAACCTTATTACTAATCAATCTCAAACAGAGCCCTTTATTCCCAGTATTTTATTTACCTCTATCCTTCTGCTATTGTGTACATCATGCTTGTAACCAGAATATCCTGACTGTATCAACACTTGACCCCTTTGTCTAGCCCTAGCACAAGTCTTATTTCCTCCATTAGGCCAATGCTAATCACTCCTATTAACTTTCTTTATGCAAATTTTATAGGATTTATTATATGTACAGTTGATCTGGTAATCACAAATTGCCTCATATTGCCATCTAAATTTTCATAGGTGTAACTCATTTCCTTAACCAGATGATAAGGATAGGAAATCTATTTTACAATTTTCATCCCAAGAGCACCACAGATATAGTATTATTCACATTGCTGTTGCTTAATTTTTATTTGTTGAATGAGTGTAGAAAAATTTGGGTTAATATTAAATTTGGTCTTACAGAAAATAAGATGCTGGCTGGGCCCAGTGGCTCATGCCTGTAATCCCAGCACTTTGGGAGGCCGAGACAGGTGGATCACGAGGTCAGGAGTTCAAGACCAGCCTGGCCAAGATGGTAAAACCCCATCTCTACTAAAAGTACAAAAATTAGCCGGGCATGGTGGCTCACACCTGTAATCTCAGCTACTCAGGAAGCTGATGCAGGTAACTGCTTGAACCTGGGAAGCAGAGGTTGCAGTGAGCCGATATCGTACTACTGCACTCCAGCCTGGGTGACAGAGTGAGACTCTGTCTCAAAACAAAACAAAACAAAAACAAAAACAAAAACAAAAATTAGCCAGGCTTGGTGGCGGGTGCCTGTAATTCCAGCTACTTGGGAGGCTAAGGCAGGAGAATCGCTTGAACCCAGGGGGTGGAGGTTGCAGTGAGCCGAGATTGCACCACTTCACTCCAGCCTGGGCAAAAGAGCGA